TTCCCCCCCCCCCCCCACTTTTTTGTTGGGGATAAATTGTGAATAATATTACCAAAAGTAAAAGTTGATTACAAGCTTTAGGACAAGGAGCTGCTTTGGCAAAAAAAGAAATGAAGGATAAAATTGTTAAATGAGCATCGAAAATCACAGCAAATGGGGAAACTATCGTCTCGGAGGACCACCACCTCGTCGACCTCCACCACCTTGACAACCACCACCGCGACCACCACCACCTCTTAGACTACATGATGCTGATACTGGTATTAGCTTCCTTCCCTCTCCTATATAATATAGAATGAAGAGAAAACACAAAATTGATATAAATGGTATAGTTAAATTTAGTGTAGGATCCTTTTTACTTGTAATCCAAACTAAACCAAAATCGAAATTGTTGCAACAATTGAACCAATTGTTTTTTCGATTGATATTAAAAAAGAACAATAAACAAACAAAACCGATAATGAAATCAACAATTTTAAAATTTTGATTTCTTTGAAACTTACTAAATTCAAGATTCAACTTGTTCATCTATTGTTTCCAAACATAATACATATACATATGAAAAAAAAAAAAAAAAAAGGAGAAACAAGAAGTATTGATAAAGACCGTTGACACGCCATGGATGTAGTAACTCCTGCTGAGAAGCAAAAACACAGTTCATGCGCAAAGAGGCCAAGAGAGACAGTAAAAGCAAGAAGACTATTCCAAAACTCTTCTTTAACTCTTTTTTTTTTGCTCTATTTGTTTATTTGCTAAACTGTTGAATCTTATTATTTTATTTATCCCTTTGGGAATAGCTTAAATTCAACGAATGAACCAAAAAAATCAAACACAAAACAAAACTTTTACTTGGCCACTCAATTAGTCAACAAAAGACATATATAGACTTTATAGTCAACTCACAAGGTTCATAAAAGTTAGACCTTTTTTTTTTCTTTTTTTTTGCCTTCAGACTTTTTCTTTGTAGACAAAAAGTTTAAAGGATCTGATGTTACAAAAGATGTTGTAGTTATATATTTTCCAATTGAAATTTCATATGATATTAGTATTACAAATCAATAAATTTATACCAAATATTTTTTTTAAAGAAAATTGATTTTTAATGTGTTTAAATGATGCATTATTTTTGACTACACATATACAATACACAAGAATTATTGTAAATTTTGAAAAAAACTAAAAGTTGAAAAAAATAAAAAAAAAATATATTAAAAAAATGAGTAAATTACAAGCAAAACATATGCAAACATTAAAAAATGACTAAATAATTAAAGGATAAAATCAATTATTTGTTGGTTAGTGAGGAAGAATGAGTCTTTTACTACTATAACATCTTTGTTGAAATAATTACAATATGGACATTGATTTCAGATTAGAATATTTTGTGATTAACGCATCAATCTTGGAGCCGCTAGAAGTACTTCTTTCACAATGCTCGCATAGATGTGGAGCTTGAAAAAATGAAATCTCTTTGTTTATGGTGTTTATGGTCCACAGTTCGATCTTCGTCCTGAAGTTTGTGTTGATGGATGTTTCTGCTGTGTGGTTTCACATGAACACATACCACAAATGGGTGGAGGAGTGTCTCTTTGGTTATCTAAATATGATGACTGTTTCTGAGAAAATGATGACTTTGGTTTGCAGATTCTCCGATTAAATAATGGGTGTATTGGCAAACTAGTACATTTTTAAAACATAATTATAAAAGTAGTACATTTACTATTCATAATTAGTAAAATAGCACAATTTTACTATTTCAGATATCTGTACAGACAGACAACTGTACGATAACATATTACTATACATAAAATATTTGTACAAAGAGAAAAAACTACAAAGAAACATATTTACACATAAACAAATATACATATATAGTCCAGCAAATATTTGTACACATACAATTATACGTATATATAGACCGATATACGGATGATTTTCCGTACATCGACAAACACAACTGTACATAAGGATAGTTGGACGTATCAAAATTTGTTTGAAAATATTTGAAATTATTAAAAATAAATGCATATCAAATTATAAAGAAAAATATAGATTTTTATGTAACTGAAATTTTATAGAAAACAAATAATTTTGATGAATATTTTAGTTATTAGATTTAAGGGGTTTTTTAATAGTGTCTAAATAGTGTACAAATAGTAAAAATGTATTAGTTTGCTAATAATGAATAGTGAATGTACTACTTCTATAATTATGTTTCAAAAATGTACTAAAAATCCAATTAATCCAAAAATAATACGTCAAAATTTTGTTGACATATGAATAATAGTAAGCCCACTTTTACTTACAAAACATAATGAGGTAAACTTTAAATAAAAAGGGAAAAGGCTAATTTGACCCTAAATAACTCTTAAATTTTTTGGGTTAAATGAGTTCTTTTGGTGTCCAAAATATCCTTATATCTTTTGATAAGAATTAAAAAAAAATAGCCTTCATTTATTTTTCGGGGAATTTCAAAAATACCCCTTTTCCAATACCACTTTTTAAAAATACCTCTCTTTCTAATTTTATCAAAAAGTCACAGTAAAAAAATTGAAATTTATCAAAAAAATATGTATAAACTTATATTTATAGACACAAATACCTTTTAAAAATCATATAAAAAGCTTATAAAAACTTTGTAAACCTTTTAAAAACCTTATAAAAACCATATAAATGCCGTTTAGAACCTTTTAAAACCTTCTAAATATTTGGATTTAGTCTCCCAGTAGTAATGATGATCTTGATGTACCTTATCAACCATATAAAAGTTTATAATTTTTCATATTTGAAAAAGGGTATTTTTGAAAATGAATAATAAAGAGGGGTATTTTTAAAAAGGGGTAGAACAAAAAGGGTATTTCTAAAAAATTCTCTTTATTTTTGGTAATTTCCAGATCAATTTCTTTTTGTAAAGTCTACAGTTCAGTTATAGCAGATTTGTTGTGGTTTGGCGGATTTTGTTGTGGTTTGGCGGATTTGGTTTTCGTTACAGATTTGCTGTGACTGAGTTGTTTTTCTTGACGGATTTATTTTAGTATGTTACCACATATTAATATTTGAAGCCATATTTATTTTCTGTGACAGACTTATTGTCGAGGTAACCACAGATTTTTAAACTATATGACATATTTTTGACATTGTAGTGGTTACAGTTTTATCACTTTATGTAGGCAACAACAAATATCCAACACATAAGTACTGTAAATGGTTCTATACACATTAATCCATGAGATAAATATTGATAATTTTGTAATTTATACATTATAATAAAAAATTAAAATTCAATTTAAAGTTTTATATATTTTTTTTATTACTATTAGTTTGAATACAGTTGTGAATTTAAAACAATTGCAAGGCTACATCTCTTTATGATAAATCTCGGTTATTACTACTAGTTAAAAAATCCCAATAGTCATTTTCTTATTCGCGCCTTAATATTCGTAGTTATAAGGCAATTTAGCCAAAAAAAACCACAAATTATTTAAGCTACGACGATATAACTACGAATATTAAAGTGTAGCCGCAAAAATTCAAACTGCTATACGGATTATGTTTACTAATGTGTTTATAGTATTATATTTTGAAAATATATATATATATATACTTTTGACTGTTTTTTTTTTGGTGTCCTTTTTGCTATCTTAACATCCACAGTTTTTCTCTCTATTCATACATATTTTTCCTAGAGAGGTTAATGAATTTTGTAACTCATTTGAACGTTGTGTTTCTCTATTATAATCTTTCTTTTGAAACTGAGATTATTAACTTAATTTCCCTCATGGATTTAGGTAAAGCGTTCATTAACCTTTACATATGCCACTATACATCCTAATGTAAAAAACGAAAAAGCACCCAAAAGAAACTAATCCAAAAAGGAACCTAATTAGAAACTCCTTGAGTCTGAGCTTGGGTTTGGACACCTCGATGATTGTACCTGATACCGTGTTTCGTTCCAGTATCTTGATCTTGGATGAAAGTTTCCAAAGATACTTCCTGAGTTGCATCTGTTTTGGGTCATCCGGTGCAACAACATAAACTTTCACAACTTCAAGGCATTTCATTTTCAGTAAGAAATGGCTAATGTGTTTCAGCTCGTTTCCACTTCCTTGATACTGCATGATACTTAGAGTCTTTACTTGGTTATTACTAGGAACGCGAATCCCTGCAAACCGGTTTTTGTTTATGTGTGTAGCGATGCATGTTGAAGTATAATCATATCTCGTGTCTATCACATTTACATAAGTTAGTTACTTGTTCAAGAGACACAAGTTGTCTTGTTTTATAGTTGTGTCTTTTAGATTAAGAGTCATGTCTCTTTGTTATTACATAGTCACAATTGTTCACTTGTATAAATAGAGAACGTGTATTGTCTCTCTAACATAACAAGTTTCAGTTTAATAAAAATTTAGTTTCATTCTTGTCTTCTTCACAAGAGAAGAGACAAAAGGTCTCTTGCTCTGTTTTTTCTTCTTCTCTCAATATTCCAACAATGGAGACCCTAAAGCATCAGGATGAGAGACTACTTTAATTAATGTCATGCATAAGTCATATATATATATATATATATATATCAATATATGTAAAGTGAGAATGGCTTCATACCGAGAGAACCAGAGTTTTTAGGTTCGGGGAATGCTCTAGAAAAAGTGGCAGAAGCACTCTCAAGCTTCTTTTATCACTCGGAAACACTAACTCAAGGAGGTTGTTGAACAATGGTAGTCCACCTTTGCAGCATACTGAAATAACCTGAAATAATAAACAAAAAGAATGTTTTTTTTTTTTTTTTCTTGTTTCTAACCAAAAGATGATGAGACCATACAATACTAAAAACTGACCTCAACAGCAGAAGAGGTCAAGTGCAAGGTCTTGACGTTGCGTATCCCACTGATTAGACCCGTCACATCCCCGTAAACAAGTTTACTTGCATTGTAATCTCTTGCGATATTAAGGTCAGCTTTGGAAAGTGAATCAAAATTACAATGTAGAGGCTCAAGCCGAGCATAATCGGAGTAATAGAGGTCGATAAGACTCGGTGTGTCAAGTGAAAGAATGCTAGAGGAACAAAAATAAGTACTGCGCTTATAGGTAACTGAGAGTCTCTTAATGGTTTTGCTTGATATCTTCTCTCCTTTTAAAAGATTGTCTTGATGTATGATTAAAACCTCAAGTACAGGGCAAGCAGCAAGAAACACACTAGATAACTTACCACCCGTAAAGGAAACTAAATCAAGAACGAGAACCTTTAGTGCTGGTAGATATGTATCCGAAGGAAAACTTGAGATGCCTAGTTTTTTCCCTAATGACAGCTTAACCAATGTTGTGCTAGTGAACACTTTGGTTGGGAGATCTCTGTCCCACAGCATAGTTTCGAAGCAAATATGGAGCTCGGAGACACCTTGTTCTATGGCATTACATATCCTGCGGTCAAGAACAAGCCTTCCATGTCCTATTCTCAAATTATTTAGTTTAGAGAAACAAAGCCTTTCATTAATCTTTAGTGAGAACTTCTTTATACGGTTACCCCCCTTGCAAAGCCAATGTTGTATATACACAAAATGTCTATAACTCTTCGGTTTACTCGTTTCGGGGTGAAAAAAGATGGAATCATCACAATCAAGACTAGGACTATAAGCAAATAGAGTCCTCCACCTTTTGGACAAAAGAGAGGTTGAAGCAGCTTGCTTCGTCGGAAGGAAGGACAAGATTTGGATAAGAAGATCATCTGGAAGACAGTCCATTGAAGTAGTTATAGAGATAGACTCCGTCTTTAGTGGTACCTAAGAGATGAAATTACGAACTACAAAGTCATCTACCAATTAATAATATATTTTAAATACAGAGAATGTTGGAGAGACTTTACAAGACTATAGAAAAACTAATCAACAATATTACAGAAAACTCTCCAGCAATCCTTTAGAATATTTCATTTACATACAATCTATGATTTTACTGCAGTCATCTAAACACCATATAACTCATAAACCAATAACACACCCTTAATCTCTAAATCATTGGTTGACATATATTTAGAGTTGAAAAAATAAAAAAATTCATTTTGTTTTAATGCTATGAGATATATATTGTAAACTTTAAATACTTGATACATATCAAAAATCTTGTTGATTAAGTTATATGTCTGGATAATATAATTTTATTATGTAAAGGTTGATTTTCAACCAAACCAAACCTAAATTCGGAAACTTAATAAAAATGAAAACCAAAAGAATATTTAGGCTAAACCATAACAAAATAAAATCATTAATAAATTATTACTAATTAATTTTTATCTACATATGCATGGTTATAAACGTTCATATCTGGGTTAGATGTTTAAAAAACGTTCAAATATGGTTTGATATAAATTAAATAATGTTTAATTTTTCTTTTAGATTTTCTTTTACTATATATTATTATATAATTTTAATTTATAATATTATATGTTATATTTTCCTAAACCGCTTAAAATGCCTAAACCCGCCTAGTTCATCACTACCTACATAACACCTAACCATCTCTTGAACATTGCTTTTAAAGCTTAGTTCAAAATGTGTCACTATGTTTTTTGTTTCAAGAGGGTCAAATTTTGATCTTAATAGGTGTTTGGATAAGCTGAGTTGATCTACTTTGTTTAAATTGTCTTTGTATTTTTAGGTATGAGTACTAGAGCTTGTGTTGTTGATGTGCTTTTTTGCTTTGTTGAAATTGTCTTCGTAATTTACTTTAGTAACTTAACGTTTTATGCAAGTTGAATGTGTTTAGACCTTTTATGTTAAATCATCTTATCGTCACTAAAACGTAACTAGGACGACAAATTAATACTGAACTTTTATGTTATGATTCGTCAACGTTAATTAGTTCAAGTAGCAACTAAACCTAAAAGCAAATAAGTTTATTTCCCACGTTGATAAAGCATTGACTTACTTAGTCAACGTTCGTCCACTAAACAAGTCCAATGCATTTTTTTCTTATGAATCTCTCATTTTATTTTGGTTTCTCACTTCTATTCACTTTTTAACATATTTTATCATCGGCTAAAATTTAAACATTTACGGCTGTATCTTAGATATATCACTACAAGAGAACATGACGACGAAATCTTACGAAATGTCCTACAAAATATTTGGTAGGATATATTTTCTACCATAAATCTACTATTATTTTACGAAAAATTAAAGTGGTAGGAAATAAATAAAATTTTAGAAATCACATGTTATCCAACTTGTAAATCTTTTTCTTTGTTTTAAAATAAGCCAAAATCACTCAAACTTTAATAATAAAACTAAACTAAATCTCACAAAATCAATAATCATTTAAATAAAAATCTAATAAATCAACCAAAATATCCTTAAAACTTACTTAAATCTCTTAAAAACCTTAAATATACAAATACCACCAAATATTACAAAGTTCCAATACACCTCCCTTACTAGGTTTTTCACTTATGTAAATGAATGTAACATTATTTACTTTTATAATAAAATATATTAAAGAAAAAGGTAACTAAAAATCTCATGTTTTCGGTAGTTTGGCACCATCTCTATCATATTTCCTCCTCCTATAAATACCAATCTCTATACTTTCAAAGAACACCAACACAATCACATATCATATAAACTAACAATTCATTAGAAAACAGAAAAAAAAAAGGATGGTACACTCTCGTTTTCTAAACCTTGTTTTAGTCCTAGTGACTATTGCTTCCATATTCACCACATTTGCTGAGGCCAATAGGGGATTTGGCTGGGGTTGGGGTGGGGGCTCCAACTATTCAAGTGGTTCAGGTTCAAACTCGAAGTCCGGATGGGGTTGGGGCTGGGGTCATGGCTCCAACAGTTCAAGTGGTTCAGGTTCAACCCCAAGGTCAGGCTGGGGTTGGGGTTGGGGTTGGGGAGGGATTCCCAACAACACACACAACTCCGGATCTCCTGGCTCGGGTTGGGGACGGATTCCCAACAACACACACAACTCAGGATCTCGCGGCTCGGGTTGGGGCTGGGGCTATGGAGGTCATTCAAAAACCTTTAATGCCACCTACAATGGACCAAGACAGATCATAGTTGGTGGAGACAAAGAGTGGACTTACGGTTTCAATTACTCCGACTGGGCTTCCAAGACTGCTCCCTTCTTTCTCAATGACAAACTTGGTGAGTCATTTTTATTTTTAAAACTATCCCATATTTTTTAGGAATTGCATATACTTTTTAGCAGTAAATAGGCCAACCTGGGCTAGACCACTCTATTTTTGGGGCGGATAAATAAGTTCGCAGCAAATGCTTTTTTAATACTTTTTATCGATCCTAACCGTTTTAACTACCAAATTTCGTTTAGTAACAGTGTAGATAAACCAATAATAATGTCACACACACACAAAAGTGTTTAGTAATGAAGTAGTTATGATCAATATATCAATTTTTGACCCCAAAAAAGTATTAACGATATGATTCATCCGAGTGCAGTGTTCAAATACAACCCACCAGCTCCATTCACGCACAGCGTCTACTTGCTTCCTGACCCATCAAGTTTCGAAAAGTGCGACCTAAAGAAAGGCAAAATGATTGCGTCCCCGAAGCAAGGGAGTGGAAATGGCTTTGAGCTTGTTCTAACACAGATGAAGCCTTACTACATTGCGTGCGGCGAACACGAAGGTGCACACTGCAACAATGGTACCATGAAGTTCACCGTCATGCCCATGCTCCCTCGTTGGTAATTTGGTGATAAATCCAAATCCAAATCCAAATCCAAACGTTAGGTTTTAATTTCGTTGTTGTGTCGTCAATAAAATGAGATTAATCATTATTTATGTGTGTTAGTAACATATTCACGTTTTGTTTTGGATTGTGGTTTTGAGATCACCAAATTGTTTTTATATTACCATTTTTGTGGTAAAATATAACAAATTTTAATAATTTCTTAAAAATGCGTTAAATAAGCCCATTAATATATGTTAAGAATGCGTTAATGCGTTAAATAAGCCCATTAATATATTTTCCTACCGACTACAAAAAACTTGGGAATATAAAATTGGTAGCTAGGTTTCTTCTCTAGGTTCTTAATAAGTTTTTTATTAATAACAAATCTCTTTCTTCGTTGGATCGGCAAAGCATAATGAAATCATTATCTCTCATATCGATTAATGATGATATCATCCTCGAGATATTGTCGAGACTGCCTTCAAAGTCAGTGGCTAAGTTTCGTTGCGTCATGCGTGTCGAAGCTATGGGCATCGATGTTATGTAGTCCATATTTCAAGGAGTTGTTCTTGACCAGTTCCTTAGCTAAGCCACGTCTCTTATTCGCCTTCGTAGAAAAGGGTGAAAAAAGCATATACAGCCAATACGGCCAAGAAACCTCAGAAGATGTGTGGCGCTTCTTCTCGTTGCCTCAACTTGTGAATCCATACGAGAATTCGTCGTCTTCAAGTCTTGTAGCCTCCGCCGACTTTCATGTGATCTTCTCTCCAGAAAAACTAATGATCTTTCATTCTTATGACCAAAGATATTTTTCATGTGGCTACGTCTCTGGCTTGTTCTATATCCATGGTTATAGAAACCAAGGTAGTCCTCTGATATGTAACCCGGCCCATCACAGGACGGTATGCTATCTTACCTTATCGGTATACTTACAGTAAGGCGTATATCTTTTTTGGGTTTGACCCGATTGACAAACAACATAAGGTATTGTACATGGCTTATCCGTTTGGTCCTGGTCGTCATAGAATTCTTACAATTGGATCTGGAGATATGAGTTGGAGAAAGATTAGTTGTTCCTTACGACATGAAGCTAAGAGTGATGGGGTATGCATCAATGGGGTTTTGTATTACTTATGCGACACGTCGAGTTGTATGCATGATAGTCCCAATGATGTAAAGTCGGATTATGTGATAGTTTGCTTTCATGTTAGGTCTGAAAAATTCACCTTTATTGACGTAGAAATGTTTTGCCGATTGATAAACTATAAGGGAAAATTAGCTGTGATTTATGGGGAGTATGATGTCGACTTTTATAAGTCTTGTGGCAGGGAGAATCTCGACGAGTTTTTGGAGAATACTTTCGACTATGATCTGAGTAATGAGTTGCATGTGTGGGTTCTAGAAGATGTTGAAAAACAAGAATGGTTGAAATATGGCTGCACTTGGACCGATGAACTAATCTGTCGTCGTCACGTTTCTTTCACTGGAGCAACCGCCTCGGGTGAAATAGTGTTTTCAATGCGCAAGTATACACCTTATTACCCGTTTTATGTTTTCTATTTCAATCTCCAAAGGAACACTCTCCAACGTGTTGAAATCCAAGGTTTTGGTGAAAGGCTTACGAAACCTTGTATTGTTCGCACTTTTGCAAACCACATAGAGGATCTTAATGTTAATGATTTAGAATTGCTCAAGTCGGTCCATCCTCCACTGGGATATGAAGAACCAGAATATGAAGAAGATGAAGAAGAATAAGAAGAAGAAGAGCTATTATGAAGAAGACTACAAAGAAGAATATGAAGGAGGAGAAGATAGAGACAATGATTGGAGTTATTCCGAATTTATCAGTAAGACAATGTACCCTTTTTATTTTCGATAAAGTGTAAGTTTTATTCCAAATCTAATTAAGTGTTCGTCATTGAAACTAATGCTTGAAGTGTTTAATTGGTTTCCAATTGTTGAGCTTTTGTTTTTCTCCTTGCTAAATACCGAGTACAACTTTTTGCGGTTTTAATGTTAATAGTTCGATATAAACACAATAAATATTATAATAATATATTTTCATAACTGAGTTTTTTTTTTGTCGGCAACCAAGCTTGGGACACACGTTGTTATGAACTTAGGGTACATTATGAGCTGTGTGCTCCATAGTATGTCCTAAACCTTTATCAACAACATTTGGAAAAGAAAAGTGCATTACACAAGAATTGGAAGTTTTAATACTTGGCTAAAATAAACTAATCACTTGATTTTGATAAGCTTGGTTTCAACTTAGGTGATGTTGAATTTTCTACTTGTTTTTCAGGGCAAGTTGCAGCAAATTTACCTCTCCTATGATATCTATAACATGTCGGTTGATTTAAATTTGAAAAATTAGAAGACTTACTTTGATGTTTCCTTGCGGTTCAAACAATGTTGTTGAACTTGGTGTTAAAGAGTGTGAACTGCAGCTTGTGGACGTTCCTTGGCTTTCTTGGAAGTCATGTGGCTCTTGTTATGCTCTGCTTCCACTCTCTTTGATGGCCGAAAACCATCTCTCCTCAGGCTGGTCGTTGTTTGCTTTACTTGGGGCTGAAACAACGTTGTTGCGGTTGAATCTTGTTGAACCCTCTTGGAGCAATGGTTCATTCTATATTGAGAAAGCAACATGATGAAGAGAAATTGGATGTGACTGGAGAAAAGAGCATTATTCCAAAAACTGAACCTTCTACTTCCAATGTGATTACAGAAAAGAACAGTGTACATGAAAATGAATGTTCGTCTTCTACTACTTCTAAGCCCTCCAACATGAATCAACAAAAAGAGATGAAAGCTTGTCATCCAAAGTTTCCGTGGAACCTGTATATTTTCAACAGTTCTCTTAAGCTTACAGCAGAAGAAATACTTACATTTGAAGCTGGGAATATGAGGTGGAGAAGATTAAGTTGTTCCTTACGGCATGAAATTAAGAGTGATGGGGTATGCATCAATGGTATTTTGTATTACTTAGGCGACACGTCGGGTTGTGTTCATGTTAATCATGATGATGTAACATCGGATTATGTGATAGTTTGTTTTGATGTTAGGTCTGAGAAATTCACCTTTATTGACGTAGAAAGGTTTTGTCGATTGATAAACTATAAAGGCAAATTAGCTGTGATTTATTGGGAGGATGATGTCGACATTTATGCGATTTCTTATGAGGAGGATCTCTACGAGTATTTCGAGAAAACTTTCAATGATGATACCACTAATGAGTTGCATGTTTGGGTTCTAGAGGATGTTGAAAAACAGGAATGGTCGAAATACCTACACATGGACCGATGACAAATTCTTCCGTCGTCATCATGTTTCTATCGCTGGAGCGACGGCTTCGGGTGAAATAGTGTTTTCGATGCACAAGTACACATCTAAACAACCTTTTTATGTTTTCTATTTCAATTCCGAAAAGAAGACTCTCAACCGTGCTGAAATCCAAGGCTTTGGTGAAGCGTTTACGAAACCTTGTAGTGTCCGCACCTTTGTAAACCATATGGAGGATCTTAGTGTTAATGATTTAGAACTACTCAAGTCATTCCATCCTCCATTGGTGGATTCAGAAGTTGAAGAAGAATCATATTATCAATCAAATTGAGAAGGGACAAGGAATGATTGGAGTTAGCTGCAAGCAATGTGCATGTCTCTTTGTCTATGTACTCTCTAATCTATGCGTTCTTTTCTTTTTTCTTTTTTTTCTGTCAACCTTAATCATCTATTCATTTATGCTCTTTATTCTTAGCGACAGAGGAGTCGCTGGATGTCGCTTAGTTTTTTTGTCGCCAGTTAAAACATCAACCAGAACACATAACTAACGATATCACCGGCGACTATTTCCAGCGACAATAATCAACTTCATCATTATATTAATGTCTTTGTCGTCTGTCGCTGTAACTGCGACTTACATACAAACAGGGCCAAAGTAAGTTTTATATCAAATCTTAAGTGTTAGTCATTGAAATCGATGTTTGTAAGTATTTTATACAAACTCTTCTCTCTTATCTCTTATCTCAATTCACAATACAATCACAAACTCTTGACAAAGTTGGAGTTACAGTTCTCCAAACTCATCTTCTAAGAACATAAAACGTAGGCAATGTCCCAAATTCAAAAATATCCTTAATTTTCAATCTTCCCAAAACAAAACAAATTTTATACCAAGTACAACACAACTTGAAAGCAAAAAAAAAACTCATGTCATTAGCAAAAACTGTTTTATTAAGCAAATAAAAACAAATTTATCTGGTTTAAAACCTTGAATAGTAAAGAAACAAATGATGATACAATAAACTTACTACTAATAATCTCGTTCTTTCCTTTTGCCTCGTGCACCTTGCTGGATCTTCACCGAACTAGGAGAATACGAGCACACGAGAGGTTTACGTCTTGTAAGATCTAAGACTTGTTGGTTTTGTCTATTATTCTCTCCATTTATGTATCCAAGATCCACTTCTTTGTAATATCCTTTCTCACCAATGAAGTAAGCTATGTCGTTGATCTCCTTTTGGTCCTTATCGAACACTACAGCCATTTTTTTCTCCTCGTCAATGAAGAAACTCCCAGCGTCCACAGCAAACACATAATCCTGACCAGTGTGTGGTACCATATCCACTTGTAAGAACAACACCTTGTTCCATGACACAGCATCAGGCTCAATCTTATTAGTAACCCATATCTCCATCATACATGTATCCCCCTGATATAACACAGCAAGCTGCTCTTCTCTAACACTAGATAGAGCCACGGTTTCTCCACTGTAAGAGTGAAACGGCAGAGGCAGACGCGGTCCAAATCTCTCGTTTGTAAAATCAAAACATATCAAGAAATCTTTGATCTCTTCAGCCAATACCAATCCAAAATCTTCAATCTTATCTGTAGCAAAAAAGTAAGTATTACCCTTTAATGTCACGCCACGTTGATAAGAATTCATCTCCCAGTCAGGAGTGACATCAAGAACCTTCCAAGAACTAGACTTCAAATCAAAAATCTCGTACTCTATAACACCACTTTGGATATCATCTATAAACCTCAAGATTTTTTGGTTTTCAAAGCTTTTCCCATCATATCCAAGAGCGTACAAGTCAAGTTTGTGGAAAGCATTCCTCGGCTCGATCCACCTAGTTTGTCCCAAATACGGGTTCCATACCACAAGCCTAGTCTTGTCTTTAGTCACGCATAAGAGTAAGCCATTGCAGTGAAAAACTTGTGATATCTCCACTTGATCTGAACTGTTTAAGCTAGTAAGCTTACCTATTCCCTTCAAGAACTCGTCTTCCTCTCCTTGTAAATTTTACGCTCATTAACGAAACCCTAGTTTCAGAATTCATTATTAACTGCCTTGGAGCAGCTTTATCAATGAGCATCTTTGCAAAGCTTGGATCTTTGGATATAGTGTTCCACCTTTTGCATGTAAATCTCACTCTTCTCATACATGTTAATGGAACCTTGGATAGTATCGTCGCTACCAAATCTCGTGGAAGATCAGATATCTTCGTCATTGCTTTTTGAGATGATCTCAATAATGGCTTTTTAGGATTATTATCTTCCCACACTCTTGTTTTTATAACCAAAGAGGTTTTACCATTTTCCTTTTCTCTGTTTTACGTTTTAGTTAAATTTCCATAATATAACAAGTCGGCGTAGTAACAATTTGGGGTTGTTGTTAAAAAAAAAAGGAATATACGGTAGACCTAGGATACCTTGCGGTGCACGTTAACAAATTGGGAAAAAATAGGAAACACTACACCAAATCATGCACGCTCTGTCAATGGGCCTATAATCTTATTGGGTCACAGCTTGAAGCCCAACTAATCTCCTAGCTTTAAACGACGTCATTGTCGTTGTGGTGGCTCTTGTGCTAATCATGGTAGCTAATAAGACATAGAGTATTCGTTCATTCAATCTCAACCGGTTTGAGCCATTTAGATAATGGACCATGTTTCGTGGCCCATATAGTTAGGTTATTTGACCAAGTAGATTCATGCATATACAGTAAAACCTCTATAAATTAATACTCGATAAATTAATAATCTCTATAAATTAATAAATTTCTCCGGTCCCAAGTTGGGACCAGTGTAATTTTAGATATATTTCGATAAAATAATAAGATAATAATTTTTTTGAAAATCCTTTGTAAATATATGGTCCCAATAATATTATAAATTAATAATTAGGTAAAATTTTCAAAATATATGTATATATAGACACATTAGTTTTTGTTAGAGTTTATTTCTAATATTTTACTATATCAAAAATTGTTAGCATTCTCTTTCAAGACATAATAATTATTATTTTCTTTGTAATTGATTATATAAAATACTAATTATCATGATTAAATCTCATTTTTAAATATTTTTCTGAAAAACTTTCAAATTAGGAAAATCTCTCTATAAATTAATAATTATTAATTTATCGATAAATTAATACATCTATAAATTAATATATTTTCATGGTCCCAACATTATTAATTTATAGAGGTTTACTGTATATAGAGAGAGACATGTTACGAACATCAATCTAAAGTAATTAGGGTTTTGGTTTGATCTCTGGTTGCCGTTTGGGAAACTCTTATGTCTCCTTCATCTCTTTCTCATATAGTTTCTGCTAAACTGATTGACACAAACAATATATCTACCAATTGACATGTACATTGAAGCATTGATTTGAACACATCAATAGGTATCAAAGCTTCTATCATGAAGCTCTGATACCAACTGATGGGATCAGATCAAAGCTTTAAGGTAGAAGTCAATTTGGCAGAAAAAGATGTAACTAGTTTCTACAATATATTGATTTTGCCCATTCAACTTCATAATATTTTCATCAAAGAATTGTTTTTATTGCTATTGTTTTCATCTTATTGTTCTATACTAGTGTATGAGGTTTTGAACAAGGAACATTTTCTTTGCCTTGGCATAAAAGAAGAAAATTATGTGAAACCTCTGCTGATTTTGCAGCTTCAATTATACTCATTACTCACTATGTAACAGAGACAATGTTGACTCCAAAAACTAGGGGTGGGCATTTCGGTTTAAGTTTGGGTTCGGTTTGGTTTATTCGATTCTATCAAAACATTAACCATACTCAACCAAAGTTAGTGTTAGGTTTTAAGAACCATCAAAGCCTCAAGCTTTCTCTGACTTGTCAAGAAACCAAGATCTTTTAACAGAGCAAAACATATAACTGAGAAGAAGAAGATAGAAACAGAGCAAAAGGAAAGAGAAGAGGAGCACACAAAGAAGTTTGTTTACCCAGTTCACTTCCACAAAGGGATAGCTACGTCTGGGCCGAGACTCTCCTCGGAATCCACTAGAACAAGCAAGTTACAAAATACAAGAGAGAATCCCTCTGAGAAAGAGACTCACACTTGAGCTCTCTTCTCTGTATCTCCTCTGTTTTTCACTCTCAAGAGAAACACCAAAGCTTACACCTTTAATGGCTATCTCTCATACTTGCTTACATCTCTCACATTGTGGCTTTCTCACACACTTCTCTTCTGGCCGCTTGGCTGCGACACACTTTATGTGCCTTAGGTTAGTGCTTATAAAGAGACACTCCTTAGACCTAATGTTTCTGCTGGATCCACAAATGGACAAACGATCCTTCTTGGACAGCAACTGCAAAGACACCTTGTGGTCCCAAAAGCCATATCCAACCAGAGTTAATTTACTTTAACTCTAGTTACCATCTTGTTTGCCTTTGTGTAGCACTTGTGTAGTTGATAAACCTTGTTCATCAAGTTCTCATCCTCACAAATCTCCACCTGAGAACATGATGATCAAGACCAAACAACCTGCACATACTTGAGATAGAGAGAATGCCTTCTAAGCAGTTTAAACACCATAAATCTGCTTGCTTCTTCCTGCATCAAACTTACATTTAATACACCTTCGCTGTAACGGTTAACCCCGCTGAACGAACCTGAGCCATCAACACTTTAGAACCTTTTAACACCAGTTCTAAAACCTGCAAATTCTTAAAGGCTCTGCATATTTCACCTTAATGCAGACCAAACGCCCAGCAAATTGATTTCTTTCCAAGACCTTCAACACTTCAACGCCAAACTGAGTTGTGAAAAAATAACCAGCCTGAAACACACACACTTGTGCTTTGGCTTAACTCTTATTGACCTCTTCATGTCTTTATAATCTTGATACCAACCAATCAGCAAATTCCATTAACAAGTTCAAGTTTCAATCAAACCTGTTAAATAACAACAGAATTCTTCATAAGCTCCACCACTTATGACTTTCAAGTCAATCAGTATCCTCTGCAGCTTCCGTTCATACCACAGAACCGTTATAGTGACTGAAAAAAAAAAAAACCAATTTACCTTCTGCAAAACTTGATTCTCTTGCTATAGTTTCTTAGGATTTACTCATGCGCATTGAGATCAAAATCCTTTGAATTCACTTGAATCAAATGCAGAAAAACTGAATCATCTTTGCTTCAGACTTGAAGCTCTTGATTCACCATGTAGAAAGTCTCACTAACCGGTTAAATATCCAGTATAACCTGAGACTGAACCTTTTCTACAACAATCTGTTTCACACATTCTGGACTTGAACATAAACCTTGTTCAATCCCTTTGTTAAAACAAACTCATCACCAGCAGATTTTAAGCACTACCAGCAACCTTTACATGTCTCATATCAACAACTCCTTGTGATAACCCTGAGACAAACATGTACAGCTCCTTCCACACCAAATCTAGAACCCTGATGCTTTCATGCTGTAATTTCAATCTGCTATGCATTGACTTGCATGCAAACTCCACCAAAACTTAGTACCATCATCACTGACAATTTTCAGACTCTAACTAGAGCCTTTGTCTTCTTTATGACTCTTTGATGCTTGAAAATTACTCACTTGACTAACTTGCAAGTGATTCTTCCCTGAGAAGATACTTACATAACTCCTCCTCTTAGAGCTTCTTTTCATATTCTTGAAGTAATCAACCTTGAGACAATTCCTGTATCGCACTTGTCTCTTTCAGTTTCTTCTTCTAAGATTCTCACTGAATCACTTCAATAACTAGCTCTTAATAAATTTCCAGAAATCTGTAACCCTTTTTTCAAGGAACTTGCAACTCTTTCAAGAGAAAAAACTTGCAGCTTGATTTCTTACTCCTTGTTAACAACCAGTTCTAAACCAAATCTGTAAGAATCATTTTCAACTCAGATTATAACCGTTGAACTTGTTGATAACCACCTGTTCTTGGTTTTCCTTCCCTTGTGATAAACTGAACTTCCATGAATCTTAACCAACAGATTTAAGCAGCTTTTAGACTAACCCGTTGAGCTCAATATCCAAGACAACCTCCA